ATAACGTGCAGCAGCACCTGTCAGTGAGACGAACTATAGCCGGGCATACTAGGAGGTCACTGTAATGCTAGGAAGCTGAAGTACTTAGAGCTAATTCTTGTAGTATACCTAACTTTACAAAAACATAATCGTAACAGTTCACCGAGGACGGAAAGCCTCTTATTTAAAAAAGCGACGTTTTTGTAAATGTTCTTACATGTGGATGCGTGTTGGTCACTTTTTTGTCGGACAACTGCCGTCTTTGTGAAGATTACATTTATTTATCTATAGGCCAACATGCTTATATCACTTGCAGTTTGATGTTTTGAAGTAAATCAGCATGAAAGAAAATTAACTTGAATTACGATGTTTTGTCCAGTAATATTAACGATTTGATTGATAATGCATTTTGTACATCGGTTTGTTTGCTTCCTGTTACACAATAACAGTGCACGCTTGAACATTTAACTTGAAGCAAAAAAAAAAAAAAAGAATGAAATATTTACTTTTAAATTAATACAGATAAATATTAAGAGGATATTTTTTGTTTGAGTGAAATATGGAATATATTTTCACGAAACATGATAAAATGTCACATATTTTCACGACCCGGGACGGCGAGTGAAAATATGTGACATTTTATCATGTTGAGTGAAAATATATACCATATTTCACGAAAAACGACAAAATAACATTTTTATTTAATTTCATCATCAAATTAAAATGTTTACGAACCCCCTTGCTTGCTATGCAACTTCAATTGTACAGCGCGCAGTGATAAAATTATTGTCTTGTTTTGCACGCGATCTTGAGCGCTACATTGTGACGTCACGCAATCAACTCTTTTAAACGTCTGTACAGGGTTAAGGACTGAATTAAAGAATTTGGTGTTCGGATTTATTTTCTAAGTGAGACCATTTTCTATAATACTAGAAAATTTTCAAATCAAAATTCAACAAAAAGTTGTTATTTATTTGTCAGCTTTTGTAAACATAATGGCTAAAAAAAGTCCCCTAAAATAAATATGAGTTTTGACTCCGCCCACTTTTATAATTATATTTCATTTTAATTGTTTACAAATATGAAATATATTTGACTGATATAGCACCAAAAGTCATGGGTAAAATTAAATAAGTTGCTTTATTTATTATTAGGAATAAACCTCGTTCGTAAATTAATTTACAAATAACTGCTGTTTGTACTCAAAAAGCAAAGTATTATTTCCAAGAGTGTTATACATGTACTTCAGTATTGCTATTGATGTTCCTTGCTTGGTTTTTAATGCATGAATGTTTAACTATGTGTTCAATGAATTACGTGCGTTTTAGACTACATTAATTTCAATAAGGGAAACAATAGACTGATTGAATGAAATAAATCATGATATTTCAAACAGTCATTTGAACTAGTGACACATAATTTGGCTTTGATAGAATCTGAAGTTTATAATTTTTTATGCATTCATTGAACTCACATTTATTATAAATGCGTTTTGTATGAACATTATACAAAGCGACTAACGTCATCATAATGATGAAATGAGAGACAAGGGCGTTTTATCTATAGTAGATAAGGTACTTTGATGACAATAGAAGATTACAGTTACTATCAACACGGGAATACTTGTACAAATGTATATTTCTTTGAAAGATGTTTCATTCATCCTAATTAAGATAAATTGGTTTTAGTTTGACAGTAATAATAAAAAGAGAGAATATGTCTGAGATCACATATTATTTTTCTGTCGTACTAAAATATGTCAATGTTAAATCATTTGCTACGAAAGAATACGCGTATTTTCTGCAAGTAGTTTAAAAATAATGTCAAATAATCCACAGCTCAATCGCTAAAGATTGAACTCTTTATTCCATGTAAAACCTGATTTTATGACGGGCCCATTGGTTGGTTCAAAATTGATGTTATTCTAAGCGCACCTATATAAGAAGCTGAGCGTGGTAGCGCTCTGTTTCAGATAAAAACTTCGAAGAAGGTAGCATCTAAATTTCAAATTGTTTCAACTTAAATTCAATCAAGCTTTACACAGTTATAACCATACACTCCCTCCCTATAAATTGAGACATTTGCTGCCGAAAGGTTATTGTATTTTTCAGACTATCATATGTTGGAGCTTTTTGTCATGGCTGGAAACAGACAGACTTCTTGTCTGTATTTATAATCCTTTGAAGAGGTTAAAACTAATAAAGTTATTGTTAAGCATCAGCTTCCTTTAACGCCTCTGACATTGATATGACATGTAGTGAGTAGTGTATTTTCATTTATATGGAACATAAATTTGCCATTTATATGAATTGAAGCATGATTTACATTTCTCTAAATTGTAAGTATCAAATAATTGAATTTGCGTAAGGCATATTCAATCATAACAGTGTCGCCGATGTCGAGGCATACATGAAACATATATTTTAATTCGTATCGACATTTTCTTTTCACCAGCCACATTGACAAAATTTCGCAAAACCTTAAATATATATCGTGAAACCAAATTTGTCTTCTTGTTTTTTTTGTGTTGGAATAAATGGAATTTGACTCCAATTTCAAATAAGTAATGCTCTCAATTTAATGGATTGAATGTATATATGATCATTTCTTAGATAATTATTTTGTATTTTCCGTGTAAGACTTTCAAGTGTGCATTATTTCCGTTTCGGCAATATAGTTCAGCTTATAATTAGGGAACAAAATAATGTATACCTTGATAAGCGCCATTGTTCATAGGAATGACAGATTTTGTCAAAGTGAAGATTCCATGAACATACTAGTATTGTTAAATTCAACGTAGCCGGTACAAGTTAGTGTGAACTTGCTATGTATTTATTCATGTTTTATCACTACAACCGATTAACAGTTTCAATCAAATTCAACATTTTTGATCCTTGAATATCGTTCATTATTGTTGTGTTTGTGGCATTTTAAAAGATTCCTTTAGTTAAACTTTTTTTCTGGCTGGCTTGTTGCAATACCTCATTGAATTTGCCTTTGGGTGTCTTGTCTGTTAATTATATTTTAAAACAACACATTAAGCATATTTCATTTACCCGTTAAATTGAATCCATAAATGAATGGTTCTTTTCTATTTGTGAATTTTATCATTATTACTTTTATTTCAAATTCCGTAAATACTCACATGAGTATTTGTGTCGGCTGTTAAGTTCTTAATATAGTAACAAGCTATTATAGTCGATCCAATGATGTGGTACGTTGTTGATTTATAACATGTTTTAAGTACTTGCTGATAACGAGATAATAATTTCATTTTAGTTTTTGTAAAATATTAATCATAGTTGCGTCATAATAAAAACAATCCCTTTACTTTATTAATAAATAATATTTAGTAAATGTCTCCATCATATCTTTTTTAACAACAAGGTACATGCCGTATTGATATTTCGTGCCAGTTTGTTTAACAGTATATCAAAAATAATCGTTTCTCATCCTAATAGTGTGACATTTTTTTATTTTATATGTTTTATTTCTTGTTTATTCTTATGTGTTTGGTTTCTTCCATTCCTTCACTGTTTGCTTACTATTTTATTTCCTTTCAGATTCACCACTTCGTGTTAACACTTCTTCCGAATCCTTCTTAAATGTCTGCTCCTTCTCTCTATAATATATAAAATCTTATTCAAATAACCAATTACTGCTAACCTGTTCTCACATTAATGAGAATAATTTTTAAAAGAACTTGAACTATGGTGATCTGTTAGGGCCACCTCCGATGAATGAAAATATTTGAACCGCAAAAGGGACGAAGACTAAAATATTGGGACGATTTAAATTGTAAATATTGAGTCAGACCTAACTGATAACTAGCAAAACGTTTCGAAATGTGTTTTATTATTTCATCATAATATTTACATTTTTTATATTTTATCATATTCAGATTTGAAGAGGAAAATAAAATCGAGTTAATGCAGACATTATTATTGTTGTATCACAAAACAAATAAAATTTAGACAAATAGAATCACCATTTTATACTAACAACTGACACCTGCTTAATTTAATGTACAATTATCTTGTCAAAATCATTGTTGAAATTAGCATTTTGTGCTACGTTACGCGGAAAGTTGTGTTTTTATATAAAACTTCATTATTTTGACATATATCGTTGTCGACGGTTCATTATTTGATTCATAATACACAATCTAAGCTATTAAAAACATAATGTCGGTTTCCCTTACGTGATTAAAGTATAATTAAAGTTAACACAAAATCAAATCAAAACATAAGATGAGTGATTTAAGATTTAATTTGATTTTATACATGCATCTTATTTATAAAATGTAACATTTATTCGTGACTATTTAACATGAAATATAATGTACACAAAATAAAACAGTTTCTGCACTTAGTTCTGCACTTAGTTGCTCCCTTACAGAATCGATAACTTTCTAATCACCTTTATAAAATTAAATGAACAACGGTATCATTTAAAACTGTCAATATCCATATTGCGTCATAAATCAAATATTGTTAAAAATTTTGTTTTCGATTTGTTATCGCAGTTGTTGTCACAGGGATAAGTGGTTTTAAAGCCGAATGTTTAAGGTAGTTGACTTCAAACCTATGCCTCTAAATTTACGATTCTATATGTTCATATATTTTTATTGAAAACTGCAAAAAGTTCTGAAAAGAAAACCTCTAACCGCTTTGTGTTCGAACCCCTGTCAATATTAATATGCAAAAGCTCTTTAGAACTCTGTCAAATTCTGTTTTCCAGAAATATGTTAGGAGATGATTCAAATGTTACAAACCACGAAAAAATTAGAATTATTAATCTTTTCCCCACTAAATTTGCCTGTGCTTTCCTGTGTAACATCGTGTAATAGTGCACTCGAATGTGCAGATTCTTTTAAATTAGTCGAGTTATATAGTGTCAAGTCTTAAAGATGAAAATGGTGACTCTGTAGTTATGCAGCATCTACGAGATATCTTACTAATGACGGAATAGAACAAGCCCAGTAACACCGCCTTTTTGGGTCCAAATCAGTAACACGCAGATGTTTCACTTTGGTTTTTATATAACATAATCGCTAATGCAATGATGACAGATTAATATTAACAATTAGGTCATTAATATCTACATAATTAAAAAGGTATTACAAAAGGATATTTATATTTACATATAGAAATAGGATACATGTATCTATATTTACATATTTCATTAAGATATTTATATTTACATAATCAAACAGGATGTTCATATTAACATATTTGAAGACATACTATGCTCAACTAAGAAAAAGAATTATCCCAGAAATTAATTGAAATCTATGTTATTCTTTCTCACTATGTCTTATTTTAGTAAAAGAATGTACAATCTGTATGTTGGAAGCTGTATTTCCTATTACAGGTCAAGTAAAGTTGATTCTTTCTTAAACAAACCACCAGTTTTTAACGACACTATATATTCTTGTTAGGTCCACCTATAGTGTGTAGAGTTTAAAACATAAGATATCTACTTTGTGTGTAGTCAAAACATGTTAATTCTATATTTACAAAGAGATTGTGTAGCAATTATCAATCTCTAAAATATAAAATTTGAGCGTAGTATATCTTTTAACTGGATACAAAAAAGTCAATAGCATATTCTAACAGAATATTTATATTTACAAAATTTAACAGGGTCTTTATATTAACATACATGTATTCAAACAAAATATTTATGTCAAAGTTTTCTAACAGGATATTTGTATTTGTATAATAAAACAAAATATTTATATGTTCAAACAGGACATGTTTCATCAAATATTAAAACATGATTTTTTAATCTACATATTCAAACACGAGTTTCTTTATTTACATACTCAAACAAGTTATCTATACAATCGTCTTTGAGAAGGATATTAATCTTGCATGTTCGTTTTATATACTGAGTATTAAGATATACTAAAGCGTGTTAGTGTTATTTTAATAAATTTAACATGGAATTTTCAAATATGTTTTGATAAAAAATATATATTATGTACACAAATAAAACAAATTCAAATTAGATTGTTGATAAAAAATGGGACGGACTATTGCAGCAGTTTTAAAGAGTGTAATATTTTCAGTACTAATGAATTACGGTGTTGCTTAAATATCTGAAGTTATAACAAAAAAAGTAACATTCCTATGGAATCAGACAAAAATATCAGTAGATTATGTATGTTAAGCATTGACTTTTTTTCGAATATTTTAGACATGTTTCTTTGCATTAAACGTGGCAATTCCTCTTTTTTGTTTGCTTAAATTTCAAATTATTTAGCCATAAATCAAGACTGTACTCATTTTAGTGCCTTTATTTATTAGATCTTCTTTCAACGTGTAACATCTCCAGTACTGACCAGATGCAAGCACCTAGTCAGGTTGACGTCATTTGTGTGTCCCTGTCTTCATACGATTGTATAGCATGTTGGTCATTTTGTCTGCAAGTGCCGCAAGTGCCGCAAGTGAACAGTTTGCGATTGAATAACATGAATATAATAGGATTACAGGCACTGTTGAGTGGGTATAGACAGTTGAATAAAAGAGTTAAATTCGCCCCCACCGTACCTGGGTGAAATATGTGCATCAACATTACTACGAAATAAGGCGTCCAGCATAAGAAAAATGCTGAAAGTAAAACAAAAGTGTATTAAATAATAATTATATGATATACAATATTCAGGCACCATGGTTCATGTAGAATAATTATTATCTGTTTTGTTTTGATCTGATTTATACTACTCAGTTTAATGATTTATATAAATTAAGGTGCTACACCCCTAATGCACTATCTCCACTTTGAAGATTATTCAAAAAGGCTAGTATCACTGTAAAGTGTATTGAAACTGATGGGCGAAGGTTCAAACCCCAGAAGGGGCAACTTTTTTTCTTTATTTTTTTTCTTTTTAACATTCTTTATTATTATATCTCAGTAACATTTTTTATTATTATCTCTCAGATCCCTTATGAAAGAAAAAAGTGTTTCATTTTAATTTTATAATTATTGTAGGTATTTATATACTAAATAATGACAAATTTTATAGCAAATATGATACCAGATATTTTCAAAGTTTAATAAAATAAAACTACATGGTAAAAGTATTTTATTATTTTGTAAGACCAACCAATATACATTTAAGAAAATTAAGTCAAACTTTGAAAACAGCCCCTCATTGTGGAATTTTTAGGGACATTTTAAATAAGGCTTTTTACATATGGAAATGGTCAAATAAGTGTTTAAAGTGGGTGGGGTAGGGTTACATTTTTATACATATTAAAACAATCGTTTAAAAACATTCATTTTGCTTGTTTAATTTGTTACCTATATGTCATTATTTGTTTCTTTACAATGAGCGATAGGAAAACTTTTTTCATAATGATGATATTATACATTATTAAGAGTTTCTTCATATCTGAAAAAAAACCTTCTAATGGCAAAGGTTTAGTTCAGAAAGATGTCCATAACTCATAAACCACACGGTGAATGTTGTTTAAAGTCTGCATACAATTGACATTTAAGGCATATAAATGTCCTATGTTGTCAAGTTTACAGTTTCTTATAGTGCCCATTAGGGGTGTTCTACCTTAACTATATATATAAATAAACTCCAAAAATTTCTTTAAAATGATAACAAGATTTATTTTTCACTAAAAATGAACAAAAACATTTATTAGCACCATTAGTTTAAACATATTTTATTTAGTAATGTAAAAGCATGTATCATTTTACATCACTATATTAATATGTTTCTCACTTTTAAATAATCAGAAATGGTAATTAACATTTACATGAAGTAAATACAGCTTATATATTATGCACTGTAATATGTATTGGTGTAAGTTTCTAAGAAATTAAATGCAAAAAGCTTAAGTTTTAACTTTGATCAAAAATGGTATGTGACAGTTTCTAATAAAAAAACATGCAGTGTTTAATGAAGTTGACGCATGGTTAATTTTTGCAAATTTTATAGTACATACCCAAGCATACGACCATTGTCATTTTGATGCTCTTTATCTTTGCCTTCGGAAGAACTCCTTGGTTTAATGAGTTGTCTTGAAGTCGGTCTATAATGATATATGATATTAAGATATCAATAATGTGTTAAGATTACCTAATTGTTACATATCTTGACATTAAGTTAACAGCTAAAGAAAAACATATTTATTAAGTAAAGGTTCATTCCTTTTTGTCCTAATAATGTTGTAAATGTCTAAGTGTTTTTGATAAACAATGTAATTAAATTCAAAATGACAATGATGTCGTAATTATATTCCTTTTTATTCAAGTTTATAAATTTTCATTGAAGTCAATTTTTATGTGACAACAGTAAAGTCCGAAGCATTTTTTTCTGTCATCTACAGCTAGTCTGAAAAACATTTATATGAGTATAAGAATGTATCAATAAATGTTATAAAGTATAGAATAAAAAGAATAAAGATCAACAAGGCAAAGGCAACGTTCACAGGACGCCGCCCCCGGACACAACCAAGCAAGACACCCAGAAGGTACCAAACAAACGAATATAAGACTTGTACTTTTAAAATATTTTAAAGTGAATTGGTCTTTAATGGGATGTCTGCAATTTAATGAATTATTTCGTTGATTAACTAATTATACATGGAAGTTACAGGCAGGTGTGAAACACATGATCCCATATTACATACATGTATGTAGCAGATAATTTCTATTAAGTTTTAGAACAATACGATATTTTTATATATTGAGTTTTTTTTTATCAATATTTGAAACCTTATGCAAAAGTCGCAAATTGAAGACCTATCTTCTTGAAGTAAATCCATGTACACATATCTGTCAAAATAATTAATAGTCAATTGCCCTTAAAATATTAAGTAAACAAGACTTAACTCATCGAAGAACAAATGATATTTTATCAGTCTTACCTCTGCTTGCATCGGTGTTTATCTCTGATAATTTCATCCTTGAACGCCATTTCATCCAAACTATGATACATATACCAACATAACATACTGTTATACCGATTGTTGGTATCACATAGATAATTACTGCAACTGTAAGACTATACGGCTGTATAAAATTAAATCAAGTGAAAAACATGTATAAGTTATTTGTTTTCTGCAACAAACCTTTGACAAGAAATCGACAAAACATTGAAATAATATTTCATTGTCAATAATCAGACTGATATATCCCCTAAGCTTGTTTATATATAATAACAAGTACTTATCTAAATGTGTAGAATGTTACATATATCATTCACAATGATACCAAAATATTTGTTATATCTTTTGATATACCAGGCAATATTCAAATCAGATGCATGCACATTCATATAATTCTGTCATTTATATCATATTTGATTTCTTATACTTTTCAATATAATAATCTATCTAATGCTTATTTTCAATATTGCCAACCGCTGCATTACCTTCCACCATTTATCTGGAAGTTTGATATCACAGCCACCTTTTTGTTCATCAATATCAGCACTATTTGGATTTGCATTTACTCCCCGACTGTAGATGATGAAAAAACTTGAGACCACTATACTGATAAGCCATGCCCCTGCGACCAAGCCTTTGTCTAAATACCTATAAATACCTGCAAAGATAGATAGATCATTATACAGTAATAATATTTTCTTATTTACATTCAATTCGTTTGCGAAGAATTCATTTTGAAATGAATGACCAATTTTACTGTAAAGAGTATAGATCTATTATTACAAGAATGTCTGTATTCTATAATAACTTATAAAATCGAATAACATGACTATGCAATTTCCGAAAAATTACGTGGATCATGCAAACAATAATTACAAAATCGTCTCAATGTATTGTCCCGAAACATTTTGTTCTGTTTTCAAAATAAAAGCAATTCATTGTTGGGATAAGAATTTCTCCTTATAACAGACTTTTTTGATATCAGTTTATGAATTACAATTTACATATGATATTTCAAAATATGATAAACAAGATCAACAAGGAAAAGCGCCGTTCGTTGGCAGCGTTCAACGAACGCAACCCCCACATGACCAAGCAACAAGAACTTGTGGCAAGGAACCCAGACGGCCCCAAACAAAGCCAGGACAAGGCACAAGGCAGAGCACGGAGAGGCTAATCACTAAAATTATAAATAATTTGTAACTGACAAGGAACTCAAAGAAAAACAAACAATCGATCGACTAATAAAGTATGATTTCTTCCTGATAAGGATTTCAAAGAAAACAAATAAATGATTGAAAAATAGGCCCACAAAGTCAAACGGGAAGGGGACAGAATACGGGGGGTAAGTAAAAAAAATAAGACTTGGGGCAAAGGGGAAGATATTTACCGTAGACGAGTAAATAACAAGGGACACAAGGAAAAGTTTCACAAAAACAGTATGAAACAACATATAGACATACATCGGGTGAACACAGAGGGTCACCGCCTTGGAACGGTCAGTTAAATTTTTTATCATTTTATATGAAAAATAATAGTTATTCAAAAGACATGCATTTGTGGATACACGTTTTGATTTTTTAAAGAAATACGGAAATAACAATACCTATTCTAAGAACATTCAATGGATATTTTATTGCCAGAAACCTGTCTACACTCATGCTGATCAGAAGATTATTAGATGCAATTACAGTCGTTGTTGACATAAAACGTATAAGTCTACACATAAAGTCACCACCATACCATTCGTTCTGCATTGCACTAGTTATACCAAGTACAAGGACACTGCATACACCCACGAGAAAATCTGAAATGCAAATCATAACCAACGGTTTGATTAAATTTCAATTATATTATTGTTCCTATTGTGTGTGTTGAAATTTGTTTTCTCTGCGTTCGATTTGTTTTTCTTTTGTAATTAAATTGCTTTTAAGTAGTTTATAAGCGATTATTTTCATTTGATAACCGCAATTATTCTAATAACTTATCAGACGTAAGACAAGGGTAACAATGTATTAATTTAAATGTATATTCATTCATCCGTCACTCAACATTTAACAAAGGGTTGAATTAATCATTTATCTGACGTGTTGTTATTTTCTTACTTTTGATAGCATGTCACCTAAGTCACAATATTCAGCTTCATAATCTTTAATACTACTAAGAATGTGTATGATAGATACTGCTTGATCTATCAAGATTTGGATTTGAGTTAACATACTTATTTGAAGAACTGAATATACATGAGTTTGTTTAACAAAACTTAACTATAAAGAAACTTACACATAGTTAAACTTTTATAAGAATCTACGGTAAATGGAAAAAAAATGATTTTCTCACCTGCTATTGCTAAATTCAGTACAAAATAGAAGAGGCGACTCTTTTCATGTTTCCTGAACACGAGGGTGTAAATTACGAGTCCATTCAGGCAAACTATGATAATGAACAAAAGTAAGGAAATTGTTGCAGCAGCTGCTTCGTATGGCTGAAATATTGAGAGAAAAAACTTTAAGAATATAATTTTTTATAATACAAGAGATCTTCGCCATCTTGACGCAATGGTTTTTTGTCTGAATAACAGTGGAATGTAATACCGGTTTGAAAAAATATTTGCGGTAAAATTCATGTCAATACATATCATATGAATTATTTATAACTCCCTGATGCAACTAACAATCCGTAAAATATAAGAAAATAAGATTTATACAATATTTGTCCGATAAAGTTAGTAAATCATAGAGCAATCGATCTACAAAAACAATATATCCTACTTTTGCTGAACATATAATTATTATTATACACATGTCAATAACAATGCATAAAAATCTCTTTAGCAATGACAACTCATTACAAGAATGAATCTGATAAAATTATGAAAGTAAGGTTCAGAAATTAAATAGAATGACACACTTTACAAATCATCGTTATAATAATCATAATAATAATAATAATAATAATAATACTAATATGTTCCAATTAATGGTAAAAGTCAGCAAAATATACACTTTGATTATCATTTATTTAACGTAGCTTTAAGATATAATTATTTTCATCTTTATGGAGGCTATTCGTTGCCAAAAATCCAGCCAATGCATGCTTCGGTTCTACTAAACAGATTAGTAAAAATCTAATTGTCGATCCGAAAGTTACATACTGCACTGGTTTTAAGCGATTTGCTTATCTCGATTTGATAAAATGAAAGCTATTAAAATGCAACGTACATAAACTGCAAACTGTTTTTAGAAATGTATAACTTCAAATTTGCGACACGTAGAAATGTAAACGATAGAACGTACATAACACGTTTTTTCCGTACATCATGACATTGAGAATGTAACTGCATCAATTAACACTCTCGGGTTTACAACACCACACTTTCCGTTTACATTCTAACACGATTAACATTTGTAAACGATTTTGCAACTTCCATATATGGCATTATCACGGAAATAGACGAATATTAATAGGCGGACCTAATTTTCACGAGAGCCGAATATAAAGAGAGGCAACTCTTACTGTACAATAATAATGAGTACAAAAATATTTCAAATTAAAACGTCACATACACCAACTGCATTACAGTTGACTTTGAATATCATCTGATTTTGTTAAAACGTATTCTAGCACAGGATATTCAAGTAATGCAAAATTTTATAAGATATAATATTACAATTTAACAACGTTTATACTGTTAATGAGCATAATAATATGCAAAAACTAAAGTTGTTGAATTAACATAAGGGAATGTCTTCCATATATAAGGATATAAACCACTTTAGCTGTTCATGAACTGTTGAAATATTCGAGCCCATTTGTTTTACATTCAGCAATGAGAATGATAATTCACTTTTGGCAAAATAAAGAGAACTGTTCTTTCTTTCAAGGACCAAATTGGGTTGTCGATTTTGACCAAGTGTATAACCACAGAACTATTCAAACTTTACTAAACTT